TGTAGGAGGGGCGAGATGCAACAATTTATCATTTGCCTTAGAAGGCATATCTCAACACGTGCCCCACCACTGGACTCCTAGAAATTTCACCAAGGTAGAAGGCCCCTGAATTTTTGTTGGATTTATTTCCCATCTTCTGGCATGCAAATGTCCTACCAATAATTTTAGAGCACTCGCTACTTCTTGCTCACTAGATCCAATCAGCATAATGTTATCAATATAACGGACCAGTGTGATATCTTGTGGAAGGGAAAGGTGATCGAGGTCTCTGTGAATTAAGTTATGACAGGGCTGGAGAGTTGATACAGTACTGATATAAGAGAGTCAAAGTATATTGCTGGCCTTGCCAGCTAAAAGCAGTTTCTGATGGCCCTTATTGACAGGGATGGAGAAGAAGGCATTTGCCAGATCAACAGATGCATACCAGGTACCAGGAAATGTGTTAATTTACTTGAGCAATGAAACCACATCTGGTACAGCAGCTACGATTATGGTCACCACCTGATTAAGCTTACGATAATACACTGTCATTCTCTAAGACCCATTTGTCTTCTACATGGGCCACATTGGTGAGTTGAATGGGCATGTGGTAATAATCACCACTCCTACATCCTTCAAGTCCTTGATGGTGGTACTAATCTCTGCAATACCTTCAAGAATGCAGTATTGCTTTTGGTTTACTCTTTTCCTAGGTAGAGGCAGTTCTAATGGCTTCTATTTGGCCTTTCCCACCGTAATATCCCTTACTCTACAGATCAGGGAACTAATGTGGTCATTCTGCCAGCTGCTAAGTATGTCTATTCCAATTACACATTCTGAAATGTGAGAAATATCTACAGGAGGTGTTTGGAGACCCAGTAGACCCACTGTGAGATGGATCTGAGCTAAAACTCTATTGATCATCTGACCCCCATAAGCTGTGATTCTGACTATTGAACCACGTTGATATTTTGGGTTTCTTAGAATTAGTGTCAGTTCAGAGCCAGTGTACCATACTCCCCCAAAGGACTGATTATTTCCTTTTTCCCAGTGCACAGTCACACTGGTAAAAGGTCATAGATCCCTTTGGGGAATACTTGGAAAAAGATTAACAATATAAATTTTTGGTAGTGTTCTTGGGTCCATCCTCAAGAGGACCTGGCCTTCCTTTTATTCAAAGAATTCTAGGTCTATAAACCAGTTCAAGTCGTGAATTGATTGAGAGACCATGACTGTTTTTATAATTCAGGTTATATATACTTTTGTTCCCCTTTCCCTGAACTTTACTGCTTATACAGATCAAGTAAAATTTAGTAGGCTTTCTATCTATCTCACTTCTAGGAACACCATGATCAACTAGCTAACACCATAGGTCTGCACAAGTCAGACTATTCTGTTTGCTGCTTTGATTCTATTGTCCATTACGGTAACTATGCCCACCTTGCATTTAGCAGTTGAGTGCCACCACTTGGCCCCTGCCACCCCAGGATACAATTATTTCCATTGCATTTAGGTTTCCCAATTCAGTGACTGTAGTTCCCACTGTGAGATCTTGCCTACAGAGAAGAGCAGTCACAGAGCTCTCATGCATGCTGGGGCTCTATTCATGAATTTATTTCTCACAGTATTGGTAAAAAGTGTGTTTTCTGGATCCTCCCAGTGTGAGTGAGCAGGTCTTAAATGACAAATCCGCTCTAACATTCTAATCTCCCTAAGCCTTTGAATCCTTCTTTCTACATTAAACGAAGGCAGGTCTGGCATTTCCAATTCACTCAGTGGGCCACCTTTTGATCATGTTTCAGCCAACCAACAAAACAAACTGTTAGAGTACTTTCTAACTCCCTGACCTGCAACATTAAATGCAGAGTCTTAGCTTAGTGAGCTCTTACCAATAAATTCAGCCAGATCCTACTTTATGTTCCTTCCAACATGATCCCACATCTTTACTATCCATTCCCACGCGTTTCATGGATTTCTGTCTGTGTAATTAGAAAACTCAAGTAGTTCTTTTGGAGTATAGTGCACCTCCTCAAGGGTCACACTTAGTACCTCACCTTTAATGGCCTTGAGTCTAATTGTAAGTTTAGAAGTAAAGAGGGATTGTTCCTAAGGAGAATCAAAATTGTCTTGCATGGTGCCTCAGTTTCCTCAGGCAATGCAGGGTTAGTTAATTCCTTCAAACAGGGATGGAGAGGCCAATACCACTGGAAGTGGGGACGCTGTTTCCACTGGTGGTAGGAAGGCCTCTTCTTCTAGGAAAGAAGACACATCAGAATGTAGGGGCTCAATATAACTGTATTCACCCACATCCCCATCCTAACTTACAGGATACCATTTTTTCCCAATCAGTGCCCTCATTTTAACAGTAGACACCCTGCACGACTGAGAGTTCAACTATCATTGTAATTCAGGTAGTTGTAGAATAAAATTCTCTGTTTGATTTTCAGTAATCTCAGTCCTATAGCTACAGGGGACACATAGAAATTTTTATCTCATTTATGCAGCACTTGAGTTGGGAATTTGAATACCTGAGCTCATTCTTTTCTTTCACCACTTTGCCCAGTGACATTAGGAGCAATTAGCCATCCTTATTGTATTCATCAGTTTTTAAAAAATGTTCAAAAGTATCATATACAGTCACCCAGCTACTTACCTCTCATAAATGGTTGATTAAGAGCATTCCTTGAAAATATTTGGCATATTTGCATGTTACCAGTGCTGTCTTTATTATTGGGAATAGAGTCATTAGCATCTTTAATCAGAATTTCTGAAGAGCCTATTCCAGAAACTCTGGAATCAATTCAGAAAACTCATTCTCAAAATTCTGTTTCTCTAGAATCACTGTCAGTATGAAAATCTCTATTAGTTAGAGTTCTCCAGAGGAAAAAAACTAATAGGTTGTAAATATATATATACAGACACACACACATATATAGACAGATATATAATGCATATAATATCTATGTGTGTGTGTATATATACACACGTATATATAATGTATTTGGTAATGTAGTTCTAGACTGAGTCCAAAGACCTCAGAGCCAGTAATGCTGATGGTGTCAATCCCAGTTTGAAGGCAGGAGAACATTGATGTCCCAGCTTATGTAGTCAGGGAAAGAAAGCAAATTCTCCCTTCCTCCACATTTTTGTTCTATTCAGTTCCTGAAAAGATTGGATGAGGCCCACCCACACTGAGGAAGACAATCTGCTGATTCAAATGCTAGTCTCACCCAGAAACATTCTCATAGAGACACCCAAAAATAATGTTTAACCAAATATCTGGGCACCCTATGACCCAGTCAAGTTGAGACATAAAATTAACCATCACACCATGCAAGAAGCAGAGGGATGATTATCTCAAGCAGAAGAAACTGCAAGTACAAAAAGCCCTGAGTCAGGAACCAGCTTAGAGTATTACAAGAGCAGATAATCAGCCAGTGTCACTAGAACATAGTAGGTAGAGAATCATACAAGATAAGGTTGAAGAGATAGGCAGAGACAAGATGATGCAGGCCATGGTAAAGAGTTTGGATTCTATTCTAAGGGAGTTGGAAATCTATTGAGAGTTTTTAATGGGGAGTGATATGATCCAATTTACATTTTGACAGATCACCCAGCTACTCTGTATAGTAGAAATTGTAAAGGGCAAGGATGAAAGCATAGTGATCAGATATACAACTCTTATAGTAGTCATGTAGGTGAGAGATGATGGTGCCTTAAACTAGGACAGTGCCATTAGTAATATATTTAAAAATATGCTAAAGGACCTAGATATGCATATCCCTGTCCATTTCTCCTTGACTCAATTATACTCACAACTTTGGTCACACACACCAAGATTATTATGAACACAAAACTCTGCTGAATTAGCAGTTTATCATGTTGAATCAGTTGTGTGCGCTTAATGTACACTTTAGATGAAATTATTATGTTAGTTTAAATTATCTATAATTTTATGTTTCACACTTAATAATAATCACATTAAGCACAGTCATACTCTATCAATGAACATGGAGAAAATAAGAAGGAAAGGAAAATGCCTTTCATCTAAGGAACAGACAGGAAGCAAGGAGGGAGAAAGGGAGGAAAAAATTATTTTATGTATCAGACTTAACAGAGTGAAGAGAGTCCTAAAATAAGAAGTCAGGAAAACTATAACAGGTCACAGCCCTGCAACTAACTTGCTGTGTGACCTTGGACAAATCACTTGATATGGCCCAAGTCTTTACTTCCTTTATCTGTGAAATAGTCAATTGAACTAATTGTTCTAGAATGTCTCTACTATTCTCCAAATGGTTATTCTAAGAACCACTCTCTTTATCATGTTGTAGGAGTTTTATCCACCTCATACACTCCAACCTCTGCAGACAGGAGATAAATTATGAATCCTGGACAGGCACAGTGGCTCATGCCTGTAATCCTAACACTCTGAAAGGCCGAAGTGGGATGATCGCTTGATCTCAGTAGTTCAAGACCAACCTGAGCAAGTGCAAGACCATATCTCTACAAAAAAATAGAAAAATTAGCCAGGCATGGTGATGCATGCCTGTAGTCCCTGCTACTTGGGAAGGTGAGGCAGGAGGATCACTTGAGCCCAGGAGTTTGAGGTTGCAATGAATTACAATGACACAACTGCACTCTAGCCAGGGTGACAGAGAGAGACCCTGTCTCAAAAAAAATACATGAATCCTTATTTTCAGACAGAAAAATTGGGGTAAAAAGAGACTAACTGATTTCTCAAGATCCCTAAAGTAGTTGATAGTATAGTTTGTTTTGTAATACAAAATCTTATGACAGATATCTAGATATAAAACTTTTCCTCTTCCTTTCCTCTTCCAAAAGGTACTCTCAAAATTGATCCAACAAGGAAAATATATGTACCACGATCTACCTTTTGCTTGGCAATTTGAAATGAGTTTGACTATCTATAATCAGTATATAACAAGCCATCCAGATAGCCTAGTAAGGTAGGCTATCTTGTTGAGCCCTAACAAATGTTAACCACCTTATTTTTCCTATAGCTGTGCGATTCTGTGACCGGTGCCATCTGATCAAGCCAGACCGCTGCCACCACTGCTCTGTCTGTGCCATGTAAGTGACAACCATATTTTCCCCGGGCTGAGCTTGGCCACTGATAGTTGCCTAGACAACAAAATGACTGATCCTAACATGTAACTATGCCTAAATAAGAACATTTCCTTTCAATCATAATGAGCACGTGCCAAAACCCTCACAGGGATTATGATGGTTCAAGCTGTTCTAAAGATAGGAAAGAGAAATAAAACCATATTTTTAAAATAAATTTTTTAATTTTACAACAGTTTTAGACCTACAGATTTATTGTGAAGACAGATCTTATATGCCCCACACCCAGTTTCCTTCATTAGTAACATCTTATATTTGGATGGTACATTTGTTACAATTAATGAACTGATACTCATACATTATTTTTAACTGAAGTTCATACTGTATTTAGATTTTCCTCAGTTTTTCCATTATGTCTTTTATTTCTCCAGGATACCATCCAGGGTGCCACATTGCAGTTAGTTAGTCATGTCTCCTTAGCTCCTCTTAGCTGTGACAGTTTCTCAGACTTTACTTGCTTTTGATGACGTTGGCAGTTTTCAGGATTAATGGTCAGGTATTTTGTAGAATGTCCCTCAATTGAGATTTGTTTGATGTTTTTCTCATTATTATTAGACTAAGGTAATGTGATTTGGGGAGGAAGACCTTAAAGGTGAAGTACCATTCTTATTACATCGTATCAAGGGTACTTATAAACATGACTTATCACTGCAGTGTTAATCTTGATCATCTGGCTGACATGGTGTTTGTCAGGTTTCTCCATTGTAAAGTTGTTCACCACCCCCCTTTCTATACTGTACTCTTTGAAAAGAAGTCACTATGTGTAGCCCACACTAAAGGAATGAGAAGTAGGCCTTCTCTCCTTGAAGGTGGGGTATCTACATAAATTATTTGGAATTCTTTTGCTTAGAAGATTTTTCTCTTCTCTGCATTTATTTATTTATTCAATCATTTATTTATATCAGTATGGAGGCATGGCTATTCATTTTATATTTTGTGTTATAATGCAATACTACTTTATTTTATTGCTCAAATTGTTCCAGCTCTGTAAAATCCCGTTTTAATGTTGATACATATAATCTTCATATCTTTCTTCTTGAGTGCTTATCCCACCCATATTTCTCTTACTTTTGATTCAAACAGAGGCTATAGCCATGTATTTTCTTCTGTACTTTTATTAAACTGGGTATTGAACAAAATGAGAAGAGACATCTTAGACCTTTTTATCTGTATTAATATCCTGGAATTCCCAATTCCTTTTAAAGGTTGGACTTCTAGGCACGTAACTTTCTGCAAGCATGATCCTATAACGTGTTGTTGTGATTGCCTCATCCTGAGAATAACTGAAGACAGAATAGTTTTGGAGTCACTATCGATGTACTGGAACCATGTAAAAATACTGGTGAAAACTTGAGTTCAGTTAAGAGGTGTTGCTTCATTTCCATAGCCTCACTTATCACGCTGTATTTTGTCCCCTTTGTAGGTGTGTATTAAAAATGGATCATCACTGCCCTTGGTATGTCCCTTTGATTCATTTCTCTCCTATAAAAGGGTCAAAGCTGCTAAATACACCCACTTTCCTAAGTATGGTTATAACACGCCTGTTTCTGTCACCGTAATTCACTGGGTGTTTTTCTTGTGTGTATATGGGACAAGAAGAGGTAACATTTTAAAGCAAGAATAAATATATCTCCAAAAGTATGATAGTGAATTCCTGGGGTCACAAAGCTAATGGTCTCCTGTCCATTGACTTTAGCAATTGAGCATAGTAATGACACACAGCACAAATATTTCTCCCCTTCAACATTACACAATTCAGTTCTGTTGCTAGCTGGCTCTATGTTTGAAATATTCTAGATTGTTGAATTCAACAATTCTCCAAATGTTGTATGTCAGACTTAGAGAACCAGTCTGAAATCACCTAACTACAAGGAGAACATGCCACAACTATACCAAGAGTAGCTGCTAAAACTGTAACAGATTTTTAGCAGCCAGGATCCAGGTTTGCTTGGGTGTATCAGGAACCAGTCCAGAACTATTAGATAGGCCAAGTGTCTCTGTGCCTATAAATGAAAGGAGAAACGAGTGAGATGTGAACTTGTTTTTCCAGTGTCTTCTTATTAAGGGACTTCTACCTGTGTTGGGTTTCTACACGACACATAATAAAGCTGCAGGAACAGCATGCTTCCATTACTTAGTCCACTTATGTATCAGTGTGTTCTCAATCAACGGGTCCTGATTTCAAATTAGTTTTTCTTTTTCTTTTTTTTTAGGGTTAATAACTGCATTGGATTTTCCAACTACAAATTCTTCCTTCAGTTCTTAGCTTATTCTGTTCTCTACTGCCTGTACATTGCTACAACAGTCTTCAGCTATTTCATCAAATACTGGAGAGTAAGTTAAAAATACCTTGAAGGGTTCCCACGTAAGAACAAATGTATACCCATTCCAACTTGACATTGTTCACCCTATATCTTTTTACATTTTGAAATAGATAATACTGAGGTAACCAGAAGGGAAGGCACTAAAACCAAGTTTTACATGTTGAATACTCTGAGATTTAGAAGGTGATTATTTAAAGATTCCGGTTTAACAAGTTTCTGTCATACGTGAGAATTTTGCTGTGGCCTTCAGGAACCTGACCTCTTGACTCCTACTGATTCTTTATAATGAACTTCTCCAGTTGAGTTTTAAAGATCCACTTCTTACCAGTTACAGATTGGAAAAATGTTGAAACGAATTCTAAATCCCTAGTTTCCTAAGAAAAAGGCTAACAAAGCACTCCTCTGTTGTTAGAAAATACTTCCTAATTCCCTGTTCAAAGGAGAGCTGCCTAATTCCTATTGGACAGAAATATAGACTGACCCCTTTACATATGACCAAAATGAAATAGGAACTTTGTTTTTTTAACTTTGTATGACAAACACTGGGTTGGCAATTAGGAGAATAGAGATCTAATGCTGGCTCTGTTACTTGCTTCACTGGCTCATTGCCAAGATCAAATGAAACAGATATTGAAAGTGCTTTACCTTTCAAAATGTGATTCCAATAATTATAATGAAATCTCAAAAAAAATCCTTTTATCTTTCCTCTCCTTGAAGATATCGATCATATCCATTTATTTAGAAAAGACAAACTTAAAGCAGATTTTCCAGTTACAAATGTGTACAGGGTTTGGCAGAAATATAGCAAAATATGTTCTTTTTTAATTTTATGCTAGTGGATTCCAGAAGATATCCCTTCCCCAGAACTCCAGTATAATTACTAAGATGTCTATGACTTATCATGGACATAATAAGTCACATGGACTTATCACTGTCCAAACTGAACCTGAATAGCAAGAGACAGATCTGGGCAGAGCTACTAGTTAATACTTTAGGAATTGCACAAGAGCCTGTATAACAGGAGTATCTCACCTCAAATGGAGAGGTAAAGCTGTAGGGAAAGAACATGAATCCTGTGACCAGAATGCAGATTATAATACACTGGAGAAAAAGGAGGAAGGAAGGGAAGGCAGTGAGAAGCTAAATAGCTAAGAATATTTAAATTATCAAGTAGTATTTCAGTCCCTACTAGTATAGAAAATATAGTGTAGAAAATTATAGCAATGTGTGCTTTTCATTATCCCTTCAACTTACCCAATCAGTTCAGATATTTAATAACTTTAAGAATAAGGAATTATATAGTGGATAACAAAATCACCAACTCAGAGACACAAACAAAAGTGTAAGCAGAAATGAAGTTTTTCATACATTTTCTTCGAATATGAAATGCTTCACCATGCTGCTCATCTTGACATCTCTTCCTTGGCCCCTTTCCACAACACAGGATCTATTTTCTATTGCTCAGGTTTCCATGACCCTGCCTTTGGCATTGTATCTAAATGCCAAGCTACTCCCTGAAATATGAAGAAAATCTGCTGCAGCCAATCAGCTGTGAAAGTATCAGCCTTGGTCTTCACTACAGACCTTTCTTGGTCCTTAACAGTGGCAACTGTTCAAGAACCACCTTTTACCCTCATAACAGAGTAAACAATATTGCATTTCCCACATTTTGCCTTTAGCCGTCTTAGCCAATAATCAAATACTGCAATGCCAGCCAGGTGCTGTATGCTTTTTTTCTCTCTTGAAAGATGATATTTGGATATGAATTAATTTCCAGAAATGTGCCAGTATTCCCAAACAATAACAGGGGTAAGCATAACCTTGTCCTTTTCTTATTCCCTCACTTTTTTTCCCCACAATAGACTAGCTCATGCCCAACAGATGAGAGACAAGGAAACCAGTCTTGGCTTGCCCTCATAAGGAAAAGGGCATTGGCAGTTCTGTGGTCTCTCCAGCCAGAGAGCCCTTTAGTGTGGTTTAGGGGTGGCTTTCTCAGTTTAATTGTAAACTCCCCTTACAATAAAACATAAACACTGCCATGTATTTGAAAAGCCATGTATCAAGGTGACATGCTGTGCCCCTAAGAACAGCAACTTCCATTTGTATGGCACTTTACAGTTTTTGAAGCACTTTCGTACCCATTAACTCATCTGATTCTCATAACAGCCCTATGAAGTAGGAAAAGCAGGAATTACTAGTCTCGTTCAAAGATAATAAAACCGAGGCTCTTGGTAGTTAAGTAATTTGCCCAGGATCACCCAGCTTGTAAATTTCAAAGTCAGGACTTTTATCTAAGTCTGATCCTAAGCCCAGTGATCTTACACACTATTCTACTGTCCATTATTGTTCTGCTATGAAGAAACTCTAGTTCCTTTGTAATAAAGAATTTAGAAGACCATCAGATTATTTATCTCCTCTCAATGTTAAACAATAGCTACTTTCATAAGAGATTGATCTTTGCCTCGTGTAAAAAGTAGTAATACACACCTTTCGCACTGGGCCGTGAATCTCTTCACAGAGACTATGAATTATTTTAGAAACAAGATAATAGCGTTATTCTACCAATATTCCTCTGAGCTGTCTCTGGTAGTTATTGCTTTGAGTGATTTAGCTTGGTTATCTTCTCAGAAGGCATTTTTGAACATAGGGCTGTCACCCTCTTCTAACAAAAAAAAGTTTGATATTAAGAATTCTATCAAGGAACAACACAGCAGACCGGGCACGGTGGCTCATAACTGTAATTCTAGCACTCTGGGAGGCCAAGGCATGCAGATCGTTTGAGCTCAGGAATTTGAGACCAGCCTGAGCAAGAGCGGGACCCCCTCTCTACTAAAAAATTAGAAAGATATTAGCTGGACAACTAAAAATATATAGAAAAAAATTAGCCAGGCATGGTGGCACATGCCTGTAGTCCCAGCTACTAGGGAGGCTGAGGCAGGAGGATCGCTTGAGCCCAGGAGTTTGAGGTTGCTGTGAGCTAGGCTGATGCCACAGCACTCTGATGCCACCGGGGCAACAGAGTGAAACTCTGTCTCAAAAAAAAAAAAAAAAAAAAGTAAAAGAAAAAAAGAAAAAAGAACAACACAGTAGATATGCAGAAGAAAGTTCTGCAAGAGTAATTGGGGTTGGGGGAGACATCCAACTCAGCTACACAGGGTGTGGACTGACTATATTTCAGTCCCTCATGCCCAGCCATTTCCTACTGCCCATTTAAATGTGAGAAATAAGAAGTAAAGGCCGGGCGCGGTGGCTCACGCCTGTAATCCTAGCACTCTGAGAGACCAAGGCCGGTGGATCGTTTGAGCTCAGGAGTTCAAGACCAGCCTGAGCAAGAGGGAGACCCTGTCTCCACTAAAAATAGAAACAAGTTCACAGGACTACTAAAAATATCTAGAAATATTAGCCGGGCATGGTGGCGCATGCCTGTAGTCCTAGCTACTCGGGAGGCTGAGGCAGGAGGATCGCTTTAGCCCAGGAATTTGAGGTTGCTGTGAGCTAGGCTGACGCCACGGCACTCTAACCTGGGCAACACAGTGAGACTCTGTCTCAAAAAAAAAAAAAAAAGAAGTAAAATAAATGTGAGCTTTAAGCTTTAAAATTTTTCTCAAAAAGGAGAGATTATGAAAGCAAAATTCCAGGCAAAAACTACTACAAAGCAATATATGGAATCTTTTCTAAAAAACTCAAAATAAACAAAAGTCAATCCAATTCAGTTGGGTTGCTTAGGGCAAGATTTTGCAGAGGGATAATTTCAAAAAGGAGAGTTTCCCAGGTGATCGGTACACCAAAAGGCCAGAGTCCACCACTATACAATGTAGACATGTAACAGAATTCAACTTATACCCTCTTATTCTATTAAAATATAAAGGAAAAAGATAAAGTAATAGAACTAATAAACACACTTAGCAAGGTAGTGGAAAAAATTTATAACTTAAATTATGCTAAACTTAAAGCTATGGCATATTAATATTTTTTTTTTTTTTTTTTTTTTTTTGAGAAGAGTCTCCTTTGTTGTCCAGGTAGAGTGAGTGCCGTGGCATCAGCCTAGCCTCACAGCAACCTCAAACTCCTGGGCTTGAGTGATCCTTCTGCCTCAGCCTCCCGAGTAGCTGGACTACAGGCATGCGCCACCATGCCGGCTAATTTTTAATATAATCAGTTGGCCAATTAATTCTTTCTATTTATAGTAGAGACGGGGTCTCGCTCTTTGCTCAGGCTGGTTTTGAACTCCTGACCTTGAGCAATCCGCCCGCCTCGGCCTCCCAAGAGCTAGGATTACAGGCGTGAGCCACAGCGCCCGGCCTGGCATATTAATATTTTCAGTAGGTCGGCCGGGCACTGTGGCTCACGCCTGTAATCCTAGCACTCTGGGAGGCTGAGGCGTGCGGATTGCTTGAGGTCAGGAGTTCGAAACCAGCCTGAGCAAGAGCAAGACCCCGTCTCTACTATAAATAGAAAGAAAATTAATTGGCCAACTAATATATATAGAAAAAATTAGCCGGGCATGGTGGCGCATGCCTGTAGTCCCAGCTACTCAGAAGGCTGAGGCAGAAGGATCACTTGAGCCCAGGAGTTTGAGGTTGCTGTGAGCTAGGCTGACGCCATGGCACTCACTCTAGCCTGGGCAACAAAGTGAGACTCTGTCTCAAAAAAAAAAATATATTTTCAGTAGGCCAACTTACTTTTGTCTCCTATATCCCTTACATTGACTTTCTCACTTCAGGTATGTTATGAATAAATAATAAATGTAAGACTGATATCTAAAAATTTTTTTAAAGGAGAGTTTCAGATAAAGGTTCCTGAAGGTTGAAGTCCTTGAGGTAGCTATTTTCTGGGCTGCTCTGCCCGCATGCAATTTTCATCCAGACCTCCCCTCAGCTAAAAGCTTCTGACTGGCTTATCCACTTCTCTGCATCCTTCAAACATATACATCCTGGAAGATTCCCAATATTTCCTTACATAAAAATGAATAAAAATGTTCTCTGAGAGAAGAAAAAATCTGTATTATCTAAACTTTCCAAGTATTGCCAAGCCTTAACTTTGTCCTTCCAAACTAGAATAGATGGTTCTACTCCCCAACCCCCAATTACTCTTGTATTTAAAAGTTAAGGTCCACTTCACTTAAACTCACTTTTAACTTTATTACTAGAGAGCATATGGAAATATTTCAAAGTGATTCATCATACCAAAACAATAATCATCGTGGGAAAAGAGGAAATAAATAATAGTCATTTCTCCAACTGCTCACTCCAAAATTGAAAATGTTTTCTTAGGTTCTCTTCAGAAGACAAAATGTTACATGCTCTACATGCTACAGAACTATAGAACATTCATTCTAGTCTAGTCTGCATGTAAAAAAAGGAAGCTAATGTAACATGGAAAATAAGTTGTCCCAGATAACTATAAAAATATTTAACTACCTACTTTTAGAATTGCCTGTAAAATCTTGCTTGATTTTTACTGTATAAACAGCTGTTCCACAGGATGTAATATACTAGCACATTTCACTTCAGCTAGAAAAATACAACCACACAAAATTTTCAACAGCTTTAAAATCAGGTCATGACTTACAGGTAGAACATTTTAAAATTCTACCTATATATTTTAACTTCCTACATACATTGCTGTGACATTTTCAATACACATATGTCCAAGGAAACATGACATATAAGGAATTCCAGAATAGCCCACCTTGAGACAAGAGGATGACCATATGGCTTCAAGATGTCAAAATAAATGGAGTACAAGCTTTAAGAGGTTGTATGCCAATTATGGCCTGAGTATACTCTTTTCACATTATCCTTTTCTAATTGGTACATTATATACTCTATTTTACACTGAACTGTACTTAAGCAAGGATCCATTTTAGGCTTGTAGGCTGAGATCATATTCACAATGAGTTATGATCTTCAATAAAAAGAACCATTTTGTAAGAATTTTACAAAATCTATTTCTTTTTACAAAATCTATTTTTTAAATTACAGCTAGACATTTTATACATGTGAAAAACTATTAATACTAACCTATATAGGAAAACTAGCCAAGCTTTGCCACCTTAATCTTTTGTTTTGTTTGTTTATTATTTCTTTTTTAGGGGGAATTGCCCAGTGTTCGCTCTAAGTTCCATGTCCTTTTTCTCCTCTTTGTGGCCTGCATGTTTTTTGTCAGCCTTGTGATTCTCTTTGGTTACCATTGTTGGCTTGTCAGCAGAAACAAAACCACCTTAGGTAAGACTGAATATTAAGACTAGGAGAAAACATATTAATGTGTATCAGAGTGACCTGTGGATTGTTTCCAAGGAAGAGAAAAACTGCCAATGAAGCAATTTAGCTGCAGTGACACCCCTTAGTCCCCAAAGTGAGACAAATGGAAATACATTTTACCAAACTGGAGAGCCATAGTGAATAAAGCTTACAGACTAATAAGAGCATTAGTGAATGAAATCCCACACAAAACAAAAAATGACCATTGTTCTTTATAGTGCATATTGGATAATGGCTCCCCAGATTTACAGCTCAGAAGTTTTCTAAAAGGTGTTCACATGAGGAAATGAAGGAAAGAATCAGTACAGAAGGGAATGTCAGAATGAAGAGGTCAATAAAGATAGAAGAATCTAATTTATTGACCACATCCAAAAATAAGAGTCCTGAGAAAAACATCCAAACCAACAACAAGAATCCAAAAGGCTTGAGAAAAAAAAATCAAATCAGTGAATATCTATAATCATCAAGAAGCTGTGTAGGGACTGTGGACATGAGGAAAACACATCGAACCAATAAGTCTCTAGAAAATAAGTACAAGAGATGAACATATTTTCTGTCAGTTACTCTATTCACTAGGCTGCTATTTGGAGAACTATATTTCTGATGGATTCTAGTACATTTTTTTCATCTACGATGAAACAAATATTTACATTATATACAAATGAGTACACAAGGAGTGAGGAGAAAGTGTCCAAATGTTGAATGTTTAGCTAGGATAGATTTGAGGAAAGATAGTGCAAAAGCCACTAAACTATGGAAATTTATTTGCTAATAATGCTAACAGCCAAGAAAGTATTTGCACCCATTTTCTTAATCAAATATATAAATAGCACTTGTTAGGGTGGTAGATTAACACATTTGTTTTAGAGGTCAGCTAGAAAGTAGAAAAGTACTAAAAGCTTCATGATAACAGTCTGAAAACAAAGAACGAATGGGAAGTAGTCAGATTCAGCCAAAGTCCAACAGTGAAAGTGTTTGCTTAATGGGATAAATGTGTGTCTAAAAATAATGTGCACTAAGATGTTCTGACTCCTCATAGTCTTTGAAGTGATTATAGTTCACTCATTGACATTTTATCTGAAGTAAAACTCAGTTTCTTACATTGTAAGTTTCAGCGTGAACATCTTCATTTCTGAAATGTTTCAAAACAAAATCAATATCATTACCGTCTCTCTATGTGTCAGTACTTTGGTCCCAGCTCTAAAGATGGCAACCATTTAACTGTTGTTCTCACTTAGAATCTTCTCACTTAGAATCAAGTAAAGTGCTGTTAAATCTGTTCCTTTACTCCTTAAATCCAGCAGTACAAAATACATACTACCCCTACAGGTGCTTAATTATTTCTACCATCGTGTGTTTCCCCTGCCTTTTTATTAAGAGATTCTATTAAAATAATTATTTATATTGAATAACAAGCTTAGTTTGTACTACGTGATTAAACGAGTATTTACTTAGTAATTTAGCAATAACTAAGAACTAGGGACCTATGCCACCACAGCAAAAAGATATCATAGTTCCATTTCCGATGATGGCACTAAAAATAAATTTTAAAAAAGATATCATAGAATTAAATCATATTCATAGAGAACTGTAAGATCATGACTATAGGGAAATTTGATCTTTTATTGCTTTCTTCCTCTTTTCTTCAACTCCCCTACCCTGCCCCAGAGGCCTTCTGCACTCCAGTGTTTACAAGTGGCCCAGAGAAAAATGGGTTTAACCTTGGCTTCATCAAGAATATCCAGCAAGTGTTTGGAGATAACAAGAAGTTCTGGTTAATACCTATTGGGTCCAGGTAGGTAAATATTACCATTGTAAGAAGTTGATGCTGGACCATGCCTTGAAGCAGCAAATTCAATTTTGATTGTAGTATATAGCAAGTATCAGTCCAATGTGAAACTCTATTCCCCAAGTTTTTCATTTCTAGGTTAGTAAAGATAAATCAGGAGGCAAGAATATGATAAAATAGACACTCTCATGCTTAGTTTGTGGCAGTATAAACTGGAACCAATCTTTTAGAACTGAATTTGGTAATATCTATCCAAAAACCATAAGAATCTACATGTCCATCATCCCAGTAATTCCATATCTGGGAATCTACCCTAAGGATAGAGATAAACTATGCACAAAAATGTTCGCCACAGCATTATTTACAGTTGATAATTAGGAAACAACCTAAATATCCAACAATATAAGAATGGAGAAATATGTATATATGTACATATCTATCTATCTCCACTGGATGGAATATTATGTAGTAAAAAGTAATGGTTATAAAGACTGTGTCACAGTGAAGGGAAATGCTTACTATATTTTTGAGTGAGAAATGTAAAATCCAAAATGGTAGGTACACTGTGATTATAAATTTAAATAAATATTTATAGAAGGAAAATAACAGAAGAGAAATATACAAAAATGCTAAAAGTGGTAAGGGCAATAGTTTTAGAAATCATTTTTCTTTTCTCCATTTTTCATATTTTGGGGTGAAATGTTAATATTATTTTTATGAAAGATGAAATTAAAATAAAAACCAAGAACAAACAAAGATTGACTTAGAGACAGTAGGTAATTCTTAGAACTGCAACAAAAAATGCAGGGAAAGCAGTAAACAAGAAATGAACAGAGCTAAGCTTGTGTCCTTCAAGTGACTTCATGAGTCAGATTGAACCACCATCAACTAAAACAGCGCCGGAGTAGAGCTTCTTTACAGCCTTCCTTTAGAGCTCCAACAGAGATACATTCCATTTCACTTATTTGAGGAAACTTTGTTGGGGTATGATGATAATTAAGGAAAAATTTCTCCCCTCCACCCCCTGGCACTCACTACCCTGACATTTTCTTTGCATGAGTCAATGTTTTACAGGCTCACTTATTTAAGAGATTTAGTATATCCTACTGTCTGGTCCATGAATCCCAAGATGAAACTATGTCAGTGGGTAATATTGATTAATAACTGTTACCAGCATTATCTATACCCCAGCCACACATACACACACTCAGATATGCAACACACCACATCAAAGGAAGATCTATTATAAAATGAGCCTTCTCTGGAATAAAGAACAAAAACAAAAATAATCAAAGCCCAATTACTCTTACATTCTCTGTTGAGTACTGTCAATAAAATCTGTCAACTTTCAATTAAGTACATCCATGAACAGGAGGAAAGAAATAGGTAATATCAAATGAATAATCCAAAAGTAACTCCAATTTAAATTTGGAATGTATGAAGATATATAGACTCAAATGTTCAAACTGTAACCCACCCTAGCCAGAGCCAGCTCAGTTCCTTCCGATGTGTCCCATCTTAATGGCCAGAAATTAACCAGGGGGGTGACCCTAGCTTACCATAGATATCCACAAAGTGAGATTCCCATATGTGGATAATTGCCCCCAAAATCTACACGCTAGAGATGCCTCACTCTTGCTCTTTCCCCTAGTTCCTTAATAACCTTTCTGCCATACAAGCCAAATAAATAACAGGGCACTTAATCATTATCACTCACCAATTCACAGCAGCTTATCTCCATTGTATTCAGTGATTCTGAGTCTGCTCAACTTTCTTGAAAATGTAGAATCAAAGCAATAAGATGGATAAAAATTGGGGTCATCACCATTAAATTATATTTATAAAGCTTGCTTTGTGTGCATATTGTCATACTGGGCATTGTGGGAAGCGAGTTAAAGAGTTGCTCAGAGAGTCAAAGCAATGCAGACAAACAAACAAGATATGGAAATTGAGAGCAATGCTATTATAAGAGCGTATTCCACCGTGGCTTTAGACAATAAGCTTAAATATTCCTAAAAAATGCCCCCATCCTATTTCTAAGAGGATTATGGCCTTCATAGAAAGCCTATGCAGCAGCTCACAGCCATTCTTTCCCCATCAGCCCTGGTGATGGACACTCCTTCCCTATGAGATCTATGAATGAGTCACAGAACCCACTGCTAGCAAATGAAGAACCCTGGGAAGACAATGAGGATGACAGCCAAGGTAAGTTGGGTCAGAAGGAAGTCTTGCGCCAGCAGACCAAGCACTATAAAGTCCATGTTAATGTACTCAGTGTAACATGGTGAGTAAATAGTGTCTAGAAAGATTTTTTTTAAAGCATATCAACTTCATACATGCCCTCTGGTTGGAAGAGGGCAAGTATGGCCAGATTTGTTTAGCAAACATGGTAGCTTCAATAGGATTACATGGCAGCTTGGAAGGTTCCTTACTAGATTTGTGATACCATAATTTATATAACCAGTCAGATAAATCAGGAAACATAAACAGTGCTGTGCCTGCTTGTAAATAATCCTGCCAGGTGATTGCTCTTGGTGCTTTGCTTGAATGTGAAGCTGTAATTCAATCAATGGGCAGCAGTCCACCTTTCTCTACCCCACTTCATTCACATTGGTTGAATTTTTTTTAAATCTTATTCTCTGGCCTGTATTAAGAAATCCCAAAACAACAAATGCTGGTGAGGATGTGGAGAGACAGGAGCACTCTTACACTGCTGGTGGGACTGCAAATTAGTGCAACCTTTGTGGAGAAGAATTTGGAGATACCTCAAACAGCTAGAAATAGAAATACCATTTGACCCAGAAATAGCATTGTTGAGCATCTACCCAAAAGAATATAAGTCTCTCTATTATAAAGACATCTGCACCCGAATGTTTATGGCAGCACAATTCACTATTGCACGGTCATGGAAACTACCCAAGTGCCTGTCAATTCATGGGTGGATAACTAAAATGGGGTATATGCTCTCAATGGAATATTACTCAATCCTAAGAAACGACAGTGAGCTAGCACCGTTTATGCTATCCTGGATTAAGCTTAAGCCCGTAATACAAAGCGAGAGGACACAAGATCTGGAAAATAGGCTACACATCTACTCGCCATCAAATTGGTACTCACTGACTAAAATTATGGTGCTGAAAAAACGGTAGTGTTCAACAGGGATCTGGGGGGGGGGACCCACATCTTAAGGAAGTGGTGAGCATTGTAGGGGGGAAGGGATTACCTCTATCCCTTTTTAGGGAGAGATAAAGATATACATTGTAACCAAAATGTCTGAAAAAAAGATCTGTAATCGGGAATTGGGCAGGGGGGAGGGGGGAGGAGGGGGAGGGTATGCACTTACAAGGTGGGTGCAGTGTGCACCACCTGGAGGCTGGACACGCTAGAAGCTCTGGCATAGCGGGGTAGGGGAGAGGGGGCAGGGGCAAGATATGTAACCCTAACAATATTTGTACTCCCATAATGTGAAGGAATAAAAAAAAATCTTATTCTCTTTTAGAATGGTTTAAATACATTAAAAAATAAAAGATAGTAATGGGAGCGAGCCTACATCTGCTTGTAGTCTACTTTTCTAAAAGGCAGAAAGGCAAAGGAAAAATAAGGAAACAGAACTTTCCCCTTCCAAGTTTCTCCTACCAGATCATTGGGTCATCTTGAGACTTCTTGTGAAGAGCTAAAAGTTAAGTTCTCATGTTATGTATCCCCCTTGCCATCCTTATTCTTTGTCTCCACCTGTTGCTATACCTACTTCTGTGCCTCAAACATTTGCATATGTTGCTAATACCAGCCCTCAGAGAGTAGGTTTTAACCAGTGGTCCCAATAATGCAGTGCCTGGCAGCAATTTTGAGGAAATTACAATTATCACAAACTGTACCTGAGATGAAAGAAGCTGAATGAGGACATAGAAAGGCATTGGGGTGGGAGCAGAGGTAGAGAGTAAGCCTTTCTAAATTTTCACCCAGTTAGATTATCCAGGCCCAGTTTCTCTACCCAGAAGTCCAGTTTTACAGAAAAGCATATAACTAAGACTAAAGAAGAGACAAAACAGCCCTAAATTTATAGTTAAAAAAGAAAACAGTTCTTGCCCACAGAACTAACAACATAAGCAACTCCCTTACCCCCTCCTGCTGACTATTGAAAAATTGACTGTATTTTGACCTACCTTTCCTTCAGCCTTCAGTCTTTCTAGATTTTCACTTACAGCAGTCACAACCAATAAGAACTCTTGTGTTGGTATTAAAAAGCCAAACTCTAATAGAAATCAGAGACTTATCAGGTCTTAACCTAGTTTGAAACAACTCCACTATGAAAAAAAAACTATTCATATCTGAGCCTTGTGTTGGCAAGTGGAATACTTTGGTGCAGATGTAGCATCGTATCATAAAAAGGGATTTTTAAATTTTTTTTATATTTCAGAATATCACAGTAGTACAAACACTTTGGTTACACAAATTGTCTTTGCACCACCCAAGTCAGAGCTACAAGCATGCCCATCTTCCAGAAAGTGTGCACCACACCCATTAGGTGTGTACCTGCCCAACACCCAATGAATGTTACTAGCATATGTGCGCATAAGTGTTGATCAGTTAATACCAATTTGATGGTGAGTACATGTGGTGCTTGTTTTTCCATTATTATGATACTTCACTTTGAAGAATGGGCTCCAGCTCCATCCAGAATAATATAAGAGGTATTAGTTCCCCTTTTTATGGCTCTGTAGTACTCCACGGTAAAGCAGTGTCCAATTCCAAACTTTTTCAAAAAATATTCAATCATAAAAATGAGTATATAATTGTATAGTTTACAATGTACTTTCATATACTTTTTCTTCATATCCTTTGACCCTCACAACTGTCAGGTTAGGTAAGCATTGTTATTAATACCATCCCCATTTTATAATTGAAGAAACCAAGATTCGGAGATATTAAGTAACTTATCCAAGATCACATAGCAAGAAAGAGGTAGAGCTTGGACTTAATTTGATTCCAAATCCTGTGTTTTTTCTTAGTATAATGCCATGTCTTCCTTTTGGACAAGCATATATGAGACACAGTGCTTTGATTGCGTGTTACCGAAAGCATTCAACTGCTGCTTACATAAATCATAAAATCATATACTGTAAGCCACCTTTAACTTCAGTAAGACCACTATGCCATCTCAAATAGCTGATTTTTTTTTCACTGAAGGAGACTCCACAACTCTCCTTTATAACCCATCTCAGTATCTAACAGCTTTAACTATTAGAAAACTATACTGTTCTCTAATGCAAGTTCTCATGCTGTACTATTTGTCCAGTTGATTCTGCATTATCCTTAGTTGCCCCCATTTTCTGTGCATAACTGGTCATATACAAATATATAGATCCGTAGAGTCTTCCGAGAAAATTTAACAGGCATCTTTTTAAAATTTTTGGAGAGACTTGGGGCTATATTTTAGCTTTTTGAGGAAATAATCCAGAGATGTCTGTTCTATTACTGCTTGTCCTCATTATAAATTTTCCTCTAGCTTACATAATAAAAATTAGAGATTATAATATAGCTCTGCTCTATTCAAATTGGGATCCATTTCCTCCAAATGGTGGCATCTATGGCCCTGCCTGTCATAGTGGCATGAATAATAAATTGTCAGGGTGATTCTTAAATGCAAACTGCTGTGAATCAGAGCCTACTTGTATGTGAAACCCACAACGAACCTCTTCACCTTTCTCCAGGGGACAAGGGAGTAATCCTAGTTCCTTAATATTTTCTTATAGGGCTCATTTCTCAATTTTTTTTTATCTTTATGGCTCTGGTGCCTTTCTGAATTTCTATGTCCTTTTACTGTTTCAACAGGTAATAAAGCCTTTGCCATTTTCTAATCATTACTTTTTTCAAACTTAGTTGCTGAACTCTTTGATCATGGACATTTATTATATTTCAGCATCCCTAGAAATCCAAAGAAGGTAGCTACAGTCAATATTCTGTAGGCAGTAAACTTAACAGAGACATTGACAAAGACTCCAACAGCAGAGCTATGGCTATTTCCATTTGCAAGGGAGTAACTCTGTTTTTTCTAAATGTGTATTTATTTATTTGTTTTTCATTGTAAAACTTTGAGGTATATAACAAGATGTTTTGAAATACAAATACATAGTGAAATGATTGCTACAGGTAAGCAATTTAACATGTACATCATCTCACATAGTTACCCTTTTTTTTGTGATAAGAGCACCTAAAATCTACTCCGTTAGAAAATTTCCAGTATACAGTATTATTAACTATAGTGCCCATGCTGTACTTTAAATATCTAGATTTATTCATCCTACATAACTGTTTACTTTGTGCACTTTGACCTATATTTCTCCATCCCCCTGTCCTGCCTGCCTCTGATAATCACCATTCTATTCTGTTTCTCTATATTCAACTCTTTTTTTTTCTTTTTTAAGATTCCATATAGAAAGAGATCACACAGTATTTTTCTTTCTATGTGTGGCTTATATCTCTTAATATAATGTCCTCTGAGTTCATCCATGGTGTTGCAGATGGCAGGATTGCCTTCTTTTTTAATGCTGAATAATAATCCTTCATGTGTGTGTGTGCGTATCACAATTTCCTTACCCATTCATCCTTCTACGGACAACTCCAGTTGTTTCCATATCTTGGCTATTATGAATAATCCTGCAGTGAACATTGGAGTGCAGATATCTCTATGAGATACTGATTTCATTTCCTTTAGGTATATACCCAGAAGAGGGATTGCTGGATCATATGGTAGATCTATTTTTAATTATTTGAGGAACCTCCATACTGTTTTCCACAATGGCTGTACTAGTTTATATTCCCATCAACAATGGATAATTGTTCCTTTTTCTCCACATCCTCACAATATTTATCTTTTGACTTAAGAATAACCATCCTAACAAGTGGGAAGTGATATCTCATGGTAGTTTTGATTTCCATTTCCCTGATGATTAGTGATGTTGAGTACCTTTTCACATACCTGTTAGCCATTTGTATGTCTGCTATACAAAAATGTCTATTCAGATCCTTTGCTCAATTTTTAATCAGTTTTTTCCCTTGAATTTTGCAAGTTCCTATGTATTGTGAATATTAACCCCTTATCAGATATATATTCACAAATATTTCCTCCCATTCTGTAAGTTGCAATTTCATTTTTATTAAGATTTAAAAATTCTAGTTTATTTATTCATTTTTTGATATATAAC